TGATTAAGTTAGGCTAATATGGTGTTAATATAATGTGTTATCCTGCAGTTTAGGTGATAATATGTCATTCCACTGACTAGTTTAGCAGTAAACACTGGACCTCACTGGCGGTTGAAGCAGCTAATGTAACACTGCATGTTTGTACTAACACAAGAGCAGCACATGAGGACAATCAGGAGGGACTGCATGATGCCAGCCATCCCCACGATCCATGTCAGTCGGAGGAAAAGAATGACCCCAAAGATGTTCTGGAGACACGGTAGGTAGACTCCCATCAGAGTGCCCATGTTGGGAGACTAACAGAGACACACAAAGAGAGGGAAAGAGTAGAATTGAGCATGACATTTCAGGAAACAAGTGTAGGGATCGTTAGTATTGATCGGTGCACTTTTTTTTAAAGGTCATTCAATCGTGTTATCAGCACTTTGCATGTATCCAGGTCTTACATGGGCACATAGTTTCACYGCAAACTGAACAATGTCAGACCCAATCTATCAACAAGCCTTAATAACATAGTATGGAGAGATCTAGCAGGGCAGTATAGTGTTTCTAAAACCTGAAGGAAAAAAATATGARTGCACACATATTACAAGCAAAGCTTATTTCCTATTTACTAACTTTGGGGGTCTTTCTACGCGAGGCCTCAGCACTCTCTTCCTCTTCATGCTCCTTGGCCCCCTGCGTGATGTTGGTGTAGTTGACCAAACGGCTGAGCAGAGAGGAAACCTTTGGCCGAATGTCCAGCTCTTCCTGGCAAGAAAAGAGCAGGTGAAGGTCATTTTCAATTGGAKTTCACTTCATTTTTTCTTATTGGAATTATTAAAAAGTGATAACAACAGACCTCAAACAAAGCCAGGTTCCTGTCATAGTAGTCGCTCCTTTTGCCAGCGGCATCAGGACTGTTGAGAAAAGGACTGTCCTCTTTGTGGTTCCCATGTCCTGTAAGACAGGGGAATAAGCTGTGACTTTTATGACTTTTTTTGTGGGGATGTTTCTCAGGAAACTGTAATCAACTTTTATTGTACAGCCCTTTACAATAATTAAAGTGTGATCAAAATGCTTCACCAAATGTTAAAACTGGCATTAAGAACAAACAATAAAACAAAAGAGGAATAAAATGTTGAAGTGCTACTAGGTATAAAAAGCCTGCCTGAGTAAAACGCTTTTAAGTTTAGATTTTAAAAGGTCAGTGGATGGAACAAAGTCTGTGAAAAACAAAAGGTTTGTTTATAGAAAGTTGGTTCCAAAGTTTGGGCACCCCAATGTGTATATTTGGACCCTGGAACATGTAATTAAAATGATAGCAGTTCTTGACATCATGAAGCATTTGCTCCTATTGAAATAAGATTTTATACAATCTATTCCAAACAAGGTGTGCAAACAGTTACTTATTTTAACAAAGTGATGGCRATAGCATTGATTGCACTTTCTAAATGTTGCAAGAAAGACCAAATGGTGAGAACATGTCAATCTCAAAGCCATTATAATAAAACCAGAGATAAGAATATTCACCCCATCAGTATTGCATTGACAAAATGCTATACAGTAACCATGAAACCAAAAACCTTGTATTTCCAAGCAGAGATGCACAATCAAAATGCCATCAGCGTTACAAATTTGCATTGGAAATGCAACACATTCACTTCCCCMTCACCTTACCCTGAACTTGAAATCATCACAAAACCAAAATGAACACATTTCATTCAACTTGGCTAAATTTGAAAGTTGTCAAAGACTCTGAAATGTGTTAACATATTTCAATTAAAGCTTTCATATGAAAAACTAACAAACAAACAGACCAAAAAAACATGATTGCCTTAATGGCAATGGATAAATGAAAATAAATAAATGGAAATCCAAGGTCTTCTCTTCTAACGTTTAACTGTTATTGTTAATTATAATTAAAAAGATCTTAACAATGTCTAATTTAGGAGAAACACAAGTGAAATGGGAAAGAAAGACCAATAATGCTCCAGAGTGAAGAATGCAAAGTCCAGGTAATAAACAGGGATGTAATTAAAATGCACTTTCATTTCTTTCTGCTTTTGAAGAAAGAATCAAACAGAGATAAGCAGAACCCCCCATGGGCAATTATAGCACGCAAATCAGCACAAGAAACTTTACAACACACACACACACACACACTCACACTCACAGGCATGTACACACCTCATTACAAAGAAATGACCTAACCTTGAGTTATTAGAGCATGTAAACCTCATCGGCCACATCTCAAAGCCTAAATTAATCTTATAGCTAAAAGCCTCCCCAACTTACAAAGTGGGAATGAAAGTAAAAACAAAACAAAACAGAAAAAAAATGTCTGTGCCACATGACCTTGAGCGCAGGTCTGGACTCACCTGAGCTGTCTGTCCCATTGCTGCAATTAAAGCTGTGGAGAAGCATAGTTCTGAGCTGAGTGCAGACTGCAGGAGAGCACTCTGCGATCTAGTTTGGGGAACTGTCGATTACTAACCGGGACAGCCGGTCACCCATGGTGAAAACTCATTCAGGGGCCCGATCCATCACATAGAGCTGGGTGCTCTCTGTGGGGAGGGGGTAAACCTCTGTGCAGATATTCCCTTCTACATGTGCACTGTTCTTTATAATGAATCACTTTATCCACTCCTGGTGAATAAACAGGCAGGTTCAAACTTAAAACAACACTAACTTTAACCTTGACACAATTTGAAATTAAAATCCATATATGGATTAAGAAACTGAATCTGTTAGAATGACCACACTTTCCCACATACATGAAAATAGAAACAGATCATGTGTTGCCAAAGAATTATGTGTCCTGTTTGGGACTGAAGGCATCCATAAATACAGACATTGAGATTACTGAAATGTGTTCATCATCACGTTATATGTTTAATAAGTCTAAAAAATGAAGGTGGGTGGGATTACCAGTAGCAAATATGCAACCTTTGTCTTTTTAAATAATAACTCAAAATGTGAAAGTTAAAGTGATGCTTCTCTGCAAACAACTACGATTCAATACTGCCCTCTAGTGTTGCTTGACAACAAGAAAATTGAATGACGTTTTCTTGGAAAAAAATAAAACATTTGGAACATTGGATATGCATGTAAAAACAACAAACAAAAAATTGTAGAAAGGCTGAAGAAAAATATATCTAAAACCATGCTTCCCCACACATAGATCTGTTCAATCAGTGCTGCCCCCCAAAGCTTGTTATTTTTAACAGTACTGTACTGAACATGACAAGCCTGGTGTGTTATGAGCTGAGGAGACAGCAGGATTCTTTACTTAATAACCT